TAATTTTAGATTATTATTTCCCAACTGGAACCGCAGACTACAAAGTCGCAAAGCAGGTAGGCTACGGCTTTTGCTTCATAAAATGCAATGCCAAATAGATGAGATGAAGGTGCTAGTCACAATAATCATAATATCTGTTTTGTTTTATTTTTTTTATAAGACAATGCTGGAGGTAAATTTCCGAAAGTAGAAATATAACATTGTAATGCACATGTAACATTCTCTTGAAATTGCAAAAAATATATATATATTAATTAATGTGTAAAACTGTTTTTAAAGATATCGGTCTGTTTTGAGAAAACAAAGCTGAATATCAAAATAAGTATCATAAGCAACAAATATTTTACCTATCTTTTCATTGAAGATCCACAACAGCCACACAATTAATTTCAAAATGTTAAATAGAAGAAAAAAAAATACAAAATACGAAATTGGTTGCTTGAAAGATGAGAAGACGGACGAAAGAGAGGAAGGTACACAAGAAGGAAAGGGAGAAGCAATGTTCTCACTATTACGGCAAATAATGCGAATGCGATGCTAGAGCCCAGACTAGTGAATAGTTATTACCTTTCTATCCTATTATAAAAATACATATGAAATCATAACATTCCATGTCGATTTGCAATTTCTAACCGAAATGCAAATGTTGTTATGATTATTAAAGAAACTAACAAATCCGATGCTTTTGCTATACCATCGCATTCACACCCATTGCTGTAACAAGGACAATTTGGAGAGAAGCATCATAGCACATTCGACGGGTAAGGACAAGCATGCAGAAGCAGGAGAAGCTAGGTCAAAGTGTAAGTGGGCCTATGGCAAAGTGGCCGGTTTATGGCAACACCCTGAGAATGCGGTGAGTAAGGAGACTTTCTACAAGAGAAAATACACAGTTCAGGTTGAAAACGAACAACTTATTGGCAACAGAAGAGTCCACCAATCTACTGGAGGGAAGACAATGTGAGATGCAGAGGTCTCAGTTTAATCGATTTACACCCCACTTCTGCTGATGGAAGAAGAGGGCAGCGGAGTGTCCCCTGGATATGAAGTATTAGTGTGAAGATACATGTTTGCAGTGACGGGCACTATTCTCACGTATACTGTCTATCTCTGTAGAGTCCAACCTTTTTACACATGCGGCCCTTTTCCCAAACCTAAGACACATCCGCCACCCTCCGACATCAGCCCAATTGTAATAGTTTTCCTTGACATGGCTTCATAATATATTCTTAATTTGAATACTGATGAAGGTCTAGCAAAGGGACTAACATTAGGCCTTTTTTCCGGCGCCAAGAGGTGTAGTACTACAGATTCCCATGACTCCGCCCCTATTTATGGGGGCGGAGTCATATATAAGCAACTGCACCTGGCTGATGAGCGCGCGGAGCACCTCTGCTCGTTTTAAAACTGGAAGAAAATGGGAAGTTCAAAGTTGATGCTGCATTGTATGGTGCAATATTAGTAACTTTGATGATGTTAATGAGGATATTATTGCACTAAGTACTAGTTTGAAAGTACGCGCGCGCGTGTGTATATGTGCATATATGCATATATATTATATATATACAAACAGAAATGTATATATACATACATACCTATATATACAGTATACACACACACATATATTTAAACATATGTATACACACATGCATATATATATATATATATATATATATATTATATATATATATATATATATATATATATTTTATATATATATATATATATATATATATATATATATATATATATATATATATATTATATATATATATATATATATACATATATATGCATTTATGTATGTATATGTAAATATATACATATATGCAGAAATATAATATAAAAAATATACATTACTACGATATTTAATAATATAGAGTTTAAGGTTTATATGCTTTCGTATTAATAGGGCTACGGCTTAGAAGAGCGAGGTTCAGGTTTATCTTTCGTATGTGTATTTTTTTATGCGATATGTCATGTAAGGCTTGTTACTATTTTTCTTATATCATTTATGCTTTAATCTTGGGCAATATTCAGGCCTCCACGTGTTCCATGACGAATAATATACGGGGAAGTATCGCGTGTTTTATTTACAGAATGTGTTCGAATGGTCAAAAGAATATTATGAAAATTTATAATAGGTTTTACATACTCATTTTACTTACTATGTATATATAATTGAATATGCTGACGTAAACTTATATATCCTTTTGAATGTAGTTGATATCAATCAATAAATAGTGTCATTTTCAAAATATTTAAAGAAGTGTGACGTTCGAAACCACCGTCGATGGACGAATGAAGAAGTATGATGGGAGGCGCTTAGGGCCCGCGCGTTTTCAACTGATTTCGATAGTTTTCCGTCGTTTGATTTGTAATTTGAAGATGTTGATAACTAACAACTTGTATTTATTGTTAATTCCTAATGTTACATCAGTAAACCAGTGATTTGTTAACTGATACAATTCAAAAACAAAATCAGATTCGTCAACTCGAGTACAATTCCTAGGAATGGGGGTGGAGCCGCACCTGTGGCAGCAGCGTAGAAGCATCGGCACGTGCTGTCGCGATCGGCCCGAAGTGTCGTAAATGAAAAAAAAGACACCCTCTAGTGTAGTTAGACAGTTTCTTGGCACCGGAAAAAAGGCCTATTGCTTTTCCTCAAAGCTTCACGACCTCCTATTAATCCATTGTGATCTACAGGTTGAGAACCACTGGTCTATCACAAGTGAAACATAGAAGGTGTAGGTGTCCAGTGTGGAGGAAGGACTGGTGTAGGTTCGGTTATAACATAAAGCGTTCACCTGACGAAAGAGGAATCAGCAGTTTAGAAGGTGGAGGCGGCGACGTGATGGAGAGCGCTTATTTCTTCAGTGTAGGGCAGACAGTTGATGAGTCTGTCAGGTTGGGAGAGTCATGTTGGAATAATCAAAGTGCAGCATCGAGAATATGGTGTGGATAATTCAACCTGCTTGAAGGCTCGACTGCGGACCCCCGATTCAACCTTGAAACGGATGGAGGAGGAGAGTAAGTTCGGTTTCCTCAAGAAAACCGGGAAGAGGGGGGCATCATGGGCTAAAGGGCAAAGATGTCACTGATGTACCTCAGCCAAAGTGAAGGGCGAGAGGAGATGGAAGGAAAAAAACACAAACTGGAGGTACTCTCTATGCAGGGTTGCTAAGACAGAAGAAAAAGGTCTAGGAAAGATCTAGGTGGGAAGGGATGGACAAGGATCCACAGAAAGAGGGATTGCGAGGACGTCATCCTATATGACATTGGCGAAGAGGGATTCAGCATCCAAGCTTACCATGGCTGCGGAGGAGGACCTGCGAACATGGAGCGGTGAAGAGGGAGCCAAAAAGACTCCTGAAGTAAGAAGATGCGTCACCGAGCCCCGAGAGATGATGGGGCGTAGAGGTGCGTCTGGTTTATGGGATTTGGGCGGCCTTTAGGAAAGAGGAAGACGAGGCTTGATGACTCTAATCCTCCGGTGGACGTACCCAAAGGACAACCTGACGATAATTCCTTGAGGCGACAATGGAAGGTTGTTGCAATACATCCTCGTGAGTTGTAGACAGGGAAACAGGTCCCGGCTTTCGGTAGGTATAACGTACGGTAGAGGACCAAAAACGAGTTACTCTTGTCAGAGGGAAAGACGGAAATATCTTTCCTGTGTGGAATGATTTGGGTCTCGAGGCTACGTCTGAAGATATACAACACGTCGTGTTGCTTCTCCCTTATCCATTCAGCATGCCTTCCTCCCAGGCTTGCCATTCCTGAAGATAAAATCCGGATTAAATTCGACACTCTTTTCCTCCCTTTCAGACAAACGGTTTTGAGTATGTCTGTTGCCTTCCACGGTAGTCTTATGCCATTCATTTACTCATGTATCCACCACCCAAAGTATATTCAAACTTGGGTAAAATATCACTCCGATTTTTTATCAAGAGGTCTGACGTTTTTTTTTCTCTCTCTCTTTCTTCTTCTTCGTATTCGTCTTCTTCTTTTTTACACATGCTAATGAAACCGTATCCACGACGCCGACTTTGCTATGTCGAGACAGGCGTGATCATCGGAGTCATCGGAGCTGTGTTGACCGTCGGCGTATTGGCTCTTGTCCTCTGGAAGGTCTGCGCGGTTCTCCACGACCGCCGCGAGTATGCCCGGTTCCTGCGTAGTAAGGACCAAGCGAAGTGGAGTACTGTGAGTCGATATGATTTGATGATGTTTATGTTGCATGTTGCTATAGTATGAGTATAATTATTTTGTTATTTTTAGTAGTTGAAGAAATATTTTTAGTATAGCAGAACTGGGATTTGAGTGATCGTGTTCATCATCAACATGTTTTGGCATAGATTGCTCTAAGATGATTGTTTGAAACAGTTAGTTCACAATTCAGTATTTCAGCAAAGGATTCACAAGCATTAAAAGAACTTCAATGCTTGTGGACTTTTTCATTCATTACTAATAGTGGAAATTATCAGTCTAGAAATCCCATGGCGATCTTCCTAATACGAAGAGTTTTGTTCAGCACTTAAGTTCAACTAATTCAGATCTAGCAGTCAATTGTACACACTTAGATCTCAAACTACAAAATATATGAAAAGAAAATGTTTACCATCACATACATCGTCGAAAGACAGTTTAAACATTGCATTGCAGTATTAATTGTAGAGGAACCACAGGCAAGATGAGTAATTAAAGGAATGATCCATGCAAATCATATACACCTTGTTAACTGCAAAAGCTTTAAAGTTGTTTTTAATATATTAATGAAAACATTTCTATCCTTAACAGAATGAGAATCCTATTTTCAGGAGGGCCAGAACTACCATTCAAAACCCTTTGTTTAATTTGTTTGAGTAAAGCAGAGGTCAAGGACTGGTAATGGACTCACAGGAATATTTCCACACCAACTGATGTAAATGTCACCTGCAAAAGAAATATGGGCAATAATTTTCTCATAAACTTTCGGACAATTTTGGACATGTATGTTTTAAGTTTTATTGTGAATTTACACACACACACACACACACACACACACACACACACACACATACACATGCACACGCACACGCACACGCACACACACACACACGCACACACACACACACACCACACACACACACACACACACACACACACACACACACACACATATATATTTGTAATTTCTATTGGATTTTAAAGTCAAGATATATTTATATTTCTCTCTTACAAATTCAAAAAAATGCATATGGCACTGGTTATTTTTGGACTGAGATGATCTACATCTGTTATTGCTTTTGATATGAAAATAATACCTAAAGCTTGCCGAACCTCCCATGAATTTCAAAGGGTTTTACTCCAACAAAATAACCTTTCAGCACATACTTCTCTTTTGTATATGCATGCTAGAATACACATACATACCTAGTCAAACAAACACAAACACATATACTAGAGAATATGCACACATCCCTATTCATTTATTGAAAATTTTCTGCCATGTCAACATGTAAAGTCATTAGCAGTGTATACAAAATATGATAATAGGGAGAGGTTTGGGAAATGAAAGGTCATAGAGCATTATGATGAGGTATTGACAAAAAATATAAAATGAGTTAACAATAAGAACAAAATATGTTAGAAGTCAGAGGGTGTAGAGCAGTGTTGGTTAGTATGGAAGTAAAAATGGTAAAGAGGATATAGCAAACGGAGTATGAAGGTTGATCAGGACTGACAAAACCTGTTTTTCCTCCTTTCAGCACAGCTCTTTCACTTTAGGATGTAGGCAGAAGGGGATGCATACACTCCCATTCACAGTGCTTGGCCTCTCCTAAACTAACAATTTTCTTCTTACTCTTTTTACAAAGATTTTCATTGCATTTGTTAAACAAAGGAATATGCTCTGCATCTCATGTAATCTCTCCTCTAACTGCCTTGTTTATGCAAAAGATACAAACTCATGGATGCACTCGAAGAAAAAGTTGTTCCCTTTGATTGAAAAATAAAAAGAGCAGACAATGGATTTTAGGTTAATTGACAGCTTACCTATGCTAAATGCTAATGATTCATCAACTCTCTTTTAAGAAAAAATAATATTGCTGTAGGGCTAAAACAAAGATATTGTATATAATTTTATATACTTTTATACATTAAGTGTAAGCTGCAGAGCTGGATTGCCTTCGTTCTTGCCGATAATGGACGATATGTTACATGTGCACTGCCTTTTCTTTGTTGCATTATGCATCACAAGGCCCAGGTATTATTACATCTGGCATGATTTTACAGTTTACCTATATTCATATTAAGAAATTCAGTGGTTTTAATATAGATAATAGGACAAAGACTACTTCTCAGCTCATGCTTTTTCTTTTGACAGAAGGCCAGACCATAGTTTTTGGCTGATTGAGATGAGACTTCAGTTCGTTCTCTAATTTTCTTGAGAGACTGCCTGATATACTGTCCACGATTTTGCGTAATATTATATCTGCACAGTCAAAAGGTATCAACAATTAACATTTTTCTGAATTCTTCAAATATGGTCAGTGAAAAAAGGTCAAAATTGAGAAGAGGTATTTGGACAGACTTGTGTAAAAAACACCCACACCAACTTTCATCTCAATCTGTCAAAAATGATTTTTCAGTAGAGAAATAAGCAGTTTCACATTTTTGCCAACAAGTAAAAAGTTAATGAAATACTTCACTCCAAACTTTCACTCACAAGAAGTTCAACACAAATAATCAGTATTTTAATTAACATATCAATAAGAAGCATTTTATTCTCTGAATTATTGAAAAATAGATTTTTGTGCACAAACTTTGCCTGTACTTAATTTTTTTGTAATAAGCGAAGTTTTTTTTTCTATAAATAAATAAGTATATATATATATTATATATATATATATATATATATATATATATATATATATATATATATATATATATATATATATATATATATATATATATATATATATATATATATATATATATATATATATATATATATATATATATATATATATATATATATATATATTGCACCTGAAAATGTATGTAAAATTACATTTTGAAATTTGGAAACTGAGGTCAAATTGCTATTATACCCTGTTATATTAAGGTTTTATTAGTACTATGATTATTAATGCCATACTGTATTGTGGTATGATTAATATTACACATGTAGTTTTTTTGTTTTTATTAATATTAATTTCATATATGTACTTTAACAATAAACTTTTCAGCTTGCTATACAAGTAATCTCCTTTAATTTTGTATAATTTTTTTTATCTTTGTATGTTACAAATACTTTGTGATTTCAATTCTGCGCCTTTATCTCTGGCTCTTTAACATGTCTGAAAGTCAATATATTTCAACTTCAACAGAACTGAAGCTAGAATTATGCAGCATCATAGAATCTGATGTGATTACACAGATAAAATTCAGTCATGTTTTTCAAATCTTTGCATCTGGATATATAAAATCTTTGTTTTAACATTAGTCACTTCTAGTAAAATATAATAAAGTACTTTCTCATTTAATTAATTCCAGTCATATAGACTGTTTCACACAATTATACAAATAAACACATCTCATCAAAATAAAATTATTATAATCAATTTTAGTGTCTTTTTGTACCACCACAACTTGAACTACAGAAAAAGATAAAGAAAAAATAAAACATCTACAGAACATGGTATATTTAATGCCATAATACATAGCAAATGAAACATATTACTTTTAAGGCAATATGCCTAATGGGTATACAGTAAATATTTCAGGTTAATGATAGATTACTATGTGTTCATAAGAATCCAATACAGTGATACATTCATTCTCTATACATCTATAATCTTTATATACGAGGCCAAAATTCATATAATAATGCATCCTGTTCCTGCTGGCATTACTGATGAAAGGTGATTCTATACAAATCATTTGCGCACATGCACTCAAACCCTTAATAACATTGTTGTAACTTCATCTTTTCCTTTTACTTAATATAAAGCTTCACACTGCTATTAGATTACAAACAACATATGTCATATACCATCATCTTTTATCAACAAAATGCTCTGTCAACATTTTTGTTACTGAAGGCTGATTTCCCTTACTTTAGGTCATACTGAAATGAAAGACAAAAAAGGACAAATTAGCCAATTATTTTCTCAACTTATCCATGCCTTGTCTTTACCAAAAAACATTAAACCAAATTATTTTTATTAAGTATAGTTAACCATTAATCCATTGGTGTCAGATAAATGTACTAATCACTATAGTCTTGTTTTGTGAATTTTATTTTCACATGGATGTTTCTACACGTACCAAGTCCCCAAGAAATCAATTAGAAAGTCCTCTACGACCCCACTTAATTTTGGAATTTCCCCCCCCATTCTGTTAAAAGTGATACCATTATCATTATTATTGATATTACGACTATCATATCATAAATAATATCATTAGCTTCTTTTTAAATCTTTCTGAAAATCAAAGGAAAGCAGAAACAGGTGAAATTAGTGACACTAACAATTGACTTCTTTGTGTCACCAAAATACTTATGTCTTTGATGATTTTGCCAATTTGCTGGCTAATCTAAGTGTTCAAAGCACATTCAAGTTAGGCTAAGTGTATTAAGCATTCTTAACTTGATAATCTTAACTTATGATCAGGTATTGGGACATAATCATATATTTATTTGGGAGCAACTTTGACATTAGAGATGACATTCCCTCTATTGTAACTCAATACTCTAAGACACTACAAAACTAAAATCTCAAGCATACTGACCATTACACAAAAGAAAAAAAAAAAAAAATATTGAACATGATACATATATGGATTTAAATTTATTAGACAACCAAGAGTAAAGAAACATACCTGTCAATAAGTGCGTTTCTCATGTTAGTCGATATAGCCGCTTGAGATGCATCATTGATCTTGAATATGCTCTCAATTACATTCAGTTCTGTAGCCGTAGTGTCCATCCAGCAAAGGCTGCCCAATCGTTGACAGCCAAACCAGCAGCAATGGAATTACTGCCACGGTTTTACTGTGCCTGCCTGATATATAACGACACTCTTAACTTGTTTCAATAAAGTTGATATAAGTCAGATATCTATTGCCTTTACTCTCATAAGGTTTTATCTTGTATAAAGAATGTAATGAAACTCAATGATGTTCATAAAATAACAGAGAGAGAGGGAGAGAAGGAGAGAGAGAGGAGAGTGAGGGAGAAGAGGGAGGAATGAGGAAGGAAGAGAGGGAGGAATTGAGGAGAGGAGGGAGGAAGAGGAAGAGCAAGGGAGGGAGAGCAAGGTAGGAAGGGAGGGAGGAAGCAAGGGAAGGAGGGAAGGAAGGAGAACAAGGGAGGGAGGAGGGAGGGAAGGAGAGACAGCAAGGAAGGGAGGGAGGGAGGGGGGAGAGAAGGAGGAGAGGAGAGAAGAGAAGGAGGATGGAAGGAGGGATGAAAAGGAGAGTAGGGAGGGAGAGGGGGGAGAGAGAGGGAGAGGGGTGGGAGAGAGGGAGGGGGGGGGGAGAGAGGGAGAGGGGAGGGGGAGAGAGGGGAGAGGGGGGGAGAGAGAGGGAGAGGGGGAGAGAGAGGGAGAGAGAGGGAGAGGGGGGAGAGAGAGGAGAGGGGGTAGAGAGAGGGAGAGGGGGTAGAGAGAGGGAGAGGGGGTAGAGAGAGGGAGAGGGGGTAGAGAGAGGGAGAGGGGAGAGAGAGGAGAGAGTGAGGGAGACGAGAGGAGAGAGAGAGAGAGAGAGAGAGAGAGAGAGAGAGAGAGAGAGAGAGAGAGAGAGAGAGAGGAGAGAGAGAGAGAGAGAGAGAGAGAGAGAGAAGAGAGAGAGGAGAGAGAGAGAGAGAGGAGAGAGAGGAGAGAGAGAGGGAGGAAGGGAGAGGGAGAGGGAGAGGAGAGAGGAGAGGGAAGAGGAGAAGAGAGAGAGAGAGAGAGAGAGAGAGAGAGAGAGAGAGAGAAGAGAGAGAGAGAGAGAGAGAGAGAGAGAGAGAGAGAGA